GAAATAAAATTCACTGTATCAAGTTTTATTTATTTGCATGCTTCCATCAGGGATTTGCCTTCTTAGATCTGCCTTGGAAATAGCCACTTTTAACATTAGGGCATCAACATAAGTCCCCCCCCCGCCCCCAAAAAAAGCTTTTACATAATCAGAATATAAATGTGCTCATAGTTCATGTTAGAATTTGGTATTGTTGAACAACTGATAAAATCCAGTCATTACTAATTTGAAATCAGTTGGTTTTGCTGCTGCTCTTCATCTTTCCTGTAGTTAGAGGAAAAGAGCCATGGTGCTTAGAATGCAGTATTACAGGCTAATGCTGCCGACTGCCAGCAGTTTGATTCTGACCAGCTTAAGGTTGACTCAGCCTTCCATCCTTCTAAGGTTGGAAAAATGAGGATCCATATTGTTGGGAGCAATATACTGACTTTGTAAATTGCTTAGAGAGGGCTGTAAAGCACTATGAAGCGGTATTTAAGTCTATGGGCTATTGCTAGTTGCATGCTCAATGAAAGTATTTAAGTATTTAATAAAGTTATAGGCTGCCCAATCCTGAAGGACTCGAAAGGAGCAAGAAGTGAGCAACCTGTTTCATTCACTTTGCTCTCTTTACATAGCAAGGTAGGATATGCCAAAAGGAAATGCAAGTATGAACTCTAGAAGACTCTACAAAAAACAGTAAAGTAGAACCTGCAGCGCTATAAATTTTGAAATTTAGCCTTTTAAATAGGAGTTTCAGATATTTTAGCTCTCTTACCTGAATGTACTATTCATACATCAGAATTCTAATTGAGGTAAATCTAGTGTAAAACTAAAGGAAGGGATTTATAATTGCATGTTAAAAAGAAAATGGGACAGAGATTGAAAAATACATTTTATATTTCATCTTCTACATAAAATACCTTTGTAAAACATTTCTGCTATTGGCTGCTTCTGACTTGCTTCTGGCTGCATCAGGACAGTTTATAGTGTCTGTGTTATTTTTACAAAGCATAGTTGAGTTCATGTGGCACTCTGGGGTGACATTATATGCAACATCTTTGGTGCTGCTCTGCTTTAATGGTTCCTGAATTTGTGCCATGTGACTCATTTCTTCAAGGGTTGCCTTATGCACAGTTCCTGTATAGAGAGTCTTTGATGGCTTCTTGCAGACCTCGGGTGTATATGTAATTGAGCAGAAGGCTTCGCTGAGAGATTCCACCACAGAGTTAGGACACGACTGGCTGGAATCTTGAAGACTCTGGATTGTCAGAGGAGATGCTATCAATTTTCGCCTTGTTCTTTTGTGCAGTGGCATTCCATATTGTGTCTCACGCTGAGCAGATGTCTTGACTTTCTCCACTGTAAGATTACGAGGCGTATCTAAATTCAAGACAAGCAAAGCCACTGAAATATTTCCCTAGATATTTCCAATTAAAACTTAAATAGCTGAGCAGTAAAAGCAGATATGATAGAACAGCCCTCACTCTTGTTTGAACGTATAACAGATATGTACTAATGACTGTTTAGCAAATATAGGCAATCTTCAATGTACATACATTTAGCGACCATTCAGTTATGATGGTCTGATGACAGCAGACAGGAAGCAACAATTGTAAACTTATTCAAAGAGAAATCCAACCTAGAACGAAGGAGAAATGTCCTGACAGCAAGAACAATTTATCAGTGGAACGGTTTTCCTCTAGAAGTTGTGGGTGCTCCGTCACTGAAGGTTTTAAAAAGAGATTGGACAGTCATTTATCTGGAATGGAGTAGGCCAGTGATGGCGAACCTTTTAGAGACCGAGTGCCCAAACTGCAACCCAAAACCCACTTATTTATTGCAAAGTGTCAACATGACAATTTAACCTGAATACTGAGGTTTTACTATGTTAAAATAATGATTACATAATGAAATATTATATTTAGCAACAATAAAAAAGAAAAACTTTTGTAATATCGTTTCTCTTTCCCTTCCTCTCTCTCTGCCTCACTGTTTTTCTCTCTCTCTCCCCCC